GTAGTACAGAGTGAAGACTTAGGTCACTGGTAGTCAAGCACCCTGCTTGGAGATGCCTGTCTTGCCTCAGACCAAGGCACTAAGCATACTGCTAAAGGCTGCCCTCCTTCACGTGGACTGGGGAGGGCCCCTCCTGCTTGTCCCAAGCCGCCTGCCTGCTGTCAGTATGTCTGTCTCCTCTATTCTCTCTGTTTGACTATCTCAGTCTATGTGGATCCCTGGACTTGTCCAAATCCAAGAACAACCCCCTCTTCAAACCTGCGGAAGTTTGAAAGTGAGCAGAGACATTTCCTCAGCCCTGGACACCAGAGACTGTGGGACCCTCCTGCGGAATCAGTCCTTGGTGATGAAAGGGTGCCCTCTAGTGGGCATTGGCAGGAGCTGCTCTGGACCCATGTCATTCTGCCAAGGACAAAACAACCCTTCTCACAGTCCTCCTGCCAATGCTCTTGGGCTTTTGAATGTGCCTTTGGGTTTTAGATTTTTTTCCCCCTTGTGTGAAGTAAAAGAAAGAAGAACAGCAGGAGACCAACAGAGCAGCCCTAACAGTTCTGTGACAGTCCCCTTATGTTAGGACTTTTTCCAAAGAACAAACCCCCAGGCAAGCAATCATAGCAAGGTAAGATGTGACATCAGAAGCTTTTAAAGGGCTTGTGACGATTTCTATATAAATCACTCACCTGTCTTGACTGGTCCCTTACAGGATGGAGGGGTTAGACTGTGAGAAGAAATTGCCCATCACCAAATGGGTTTGATAGTTCGATGGGTACCTCCTCTGCTGATTTTGAGTCCCCTGGAGTCGATGACATTTTTTGGTGGTAGAAGTGGGCCATTAAAGCTCTACATGCCACGGCATAAACAAGGCATTGGGCCCTTTAAAACCTGTTTAAAAAAAAAAAACAAACTGTTGGTCCAAGGAGGGAGGGAGGCAAGGTGCCCATCAGGGAAACGAGAACCTGATCACTTGTGATGGTTGCTGGATTGGGTAACAGCTCCACTGGTTGAAATTGGATCTTGGAGGATGAGTGTTAACATCTCTGGTGTCCTGGCGAAAGGTTCATTTGAGTCTTGCATGGTGCCACAGAAATAAAAAGGAGCTTTTAAATAATCATTTTGTCTCCTACTTGCCAGAGTGCTGGCTTCAAGCAATAAATAGGTAGCATCAGTTCTCCTTAGATGTGTCATCCTTTTATTATTTGATGTTGGTGGGATTTTTTTTAAAATAGTCGAATAGTTTTCCTACCTATGGATGAGAACCCCCGAGCTTATAGGGGTACATTCATATGCTCCCTATTCTGGATTGAAATGTGAGCAGTATTCTTTGGGGTCATCTCTGCCACTTCCAAACTGCCCGAACCCCCAAAACCTGAGTCTTCTGTGTCAGTGGAAAGTAAAGATTTTCTTCTAAGGCTTTTTCCTTGTTTATGTTCTTTCTTGTTCTTATTCTGGCATCATCTTTTTCAGTGCCTTGAATATGATTTACACAATTTTTAAACAGTGCAAATTGGAGAGGTCCTCTGGGCTGTTTTGTTTTCTTGCATCTCCATTCTTTTTCTTTTTCCTCCAGATTTCTGATCTGGAGTCCTAATTATGTATTCCTAGCCACCAAATTCATATTTCCTATACTTAGCAACCAATTCTATGAAATAATAGTAAATCCAAACTTTTAAAGGCATATTTGTTTAAAGGGTTTATAAAAATGATGGAAAAGCTAAGTAAACTGCTGACACTTTTATTGCTCCCCCCCGCCCCCCGAAAAACCCAAAGCACTGTGTTCTTCATACCTGGAAAAAGAATCAGTATACATCAGTGCTGCAGGCTTCACGGCCCTCTGAAGCTCACAGAGGCTTGGCACTATTTCCATGTCCTCTCCGTGTCCCATGGCAGCCTTAGCGAGTCTCTCTCTTATTTTGTTTTAAGTGACTTAGGTTTCAAAGCCCAGCAAAGTATTAATTAGGTGGGTGTGGAGAGATTATCTAACATAGTTCGTTCTTCCCGATAATTGTTTAGAAAGCAGAGAAGCCTGGCTTTGGGTGAAACTGAGAGGAGCTGGAAAGAGCTGGCACTCTCAGGGGTGACTGTCAGGTGTGTGGGAACGAGGAGCAGTGACACACTCGTGGTCACCCACACTGGACTTGAGGAAACCAGGATTAGAACCGTAGCCCAGGGTGGCCCATCTTTCAGCCCCTTTTCTTTCTCCCATAGCTGCTTTTGGCCGGACGACTGAGCTGTCAGAGGGCAGGAGACAGTCTTTAGTACACATGCTCTTGGAGAAGGGTGATCCTTGTATCATGACGTTTGTTAGGCAGTGCTGAGGCAGCCCTGGGAGGACGTGGCCTGACCAGTGCAGTGAAAGGATCCTTCTGTGCCTTGCTGAGGGTCAGGGCTATCTTACGGTTAGTGTTAGCCACATGCAAGAGGAGGAGTCATTACCTCCAGACTGACACCTGACCAGCCTTAGCAAGGCAGGAAATTTTCTCACCAGCTGTGGGGAGTGGTGAGCTCCTTTTGAAGGAAGTCCATTGGACACTGAATTCAAAGGGCTGATAAAAGCCTAGAAGCTGCCCTGGCATATAGTTTTGAATGGGTCAGGCTAGAGTGAAACAACTATGTTGTTCATGAATAGCTCAGAGGCATTAAAATCTGAATGACTCCTAGATAGTTTTGTTGATAAAGCATTTAAAATTCATTACATAAAGGAAAATGAAAGGGAAACACCCATACAGAATCCCTGTTCCTCCCAAGTGAGTACCTGCCTTGGAGAGTCGGCTGCTGTGGTGGTGGAATGGTCTCAGTGTTCAGTATCTGCCTAAGGAAATCTTCGTGAGTGGTGGTGTGTTCTTTAGAGGGCTTTGGAGATTTGAATATATAAATTCAAGAAACAGAAAAACATGGCTCAATCTTTATCATTCAGGGAATCAGAGGGGCCGCTACCCATTCAGTCTCCTTAGCATCCCAAAGCAAACTTCCCTGGCAGGTCCACAAACTAAACCTCTATGATCTTTTAATCTTGTGCTATCATCACTATAGCAATTTTATATGCATGAGGCAGGATGTTTTTTTAAAAGTGAGGTTGTAAATGAAGCAGACGACACTTGGCATCTGAAGTGTGTGAAGAGATGGATTTTCCTTTCTTTTCTCTCTCATGTCCCTCCTCTGCACCTTCCTTCCTCTCCCATCTTTTCTCACTTCTTTAGAGACTCACGTGGTCTCTCCCTGTGCCTTTTCTCCTTTTGGCTCATAGCTGACGGCCCCATTCGGCACAGTGCACTCCATGCTGTGTCTTTCCTGAGAGCCATGGTGGCATGTTTTCTGGAGCAGGACCTGGAATTTCCTTGGAACAACTTCCACGGCCACTGCCTGACAGAAGGCAGGTGCAGTGCAGAAGCTGCTACTGCCTGTCCGAATGCCCTGGGCACCTAGATTTCCCTTCCTCCTAAGCTCAGTCCACCTTCCTGTCACAGCCTGGTCCCAGCGCAGTCTAGGACACAGCAGGCGGTGGCCCCTTCCCCCAGGAATTCTCCAGGTCCACCCCCAGGAAAGCTCTGGATCCATCCCACTGGCACCTCCATCTTGACTGGGGACCCGCACTCTGTCCCCTCTGCCTGTACCCCCTTCCCACCTTTCCTACCTTATCCACTCTTCTCTTCAGTGTTTTTTTTTTTTTTTTTTAATTGAAGGATCCTCTTCTTGTTCCCTTTCAACCATGACTTAGCTGCTGACAACGAAACTGGATTTGGATGAGTGATTTATTTTGTGGCAGCTGGTATGCAGGTAGTAAAAAATGACTGCTTCACATTTCTGCTGATCTTCAGGCCCAAGTTACACCCCATTCCATCCTTCAAGGTTGCGGTGCTTTAATAAAAAAAAAAAAATGGCCCTATCTTGGCCTGAGAATCCTGATCAAGAGCACACCGGTCTGGGTACCACAGCACTGGCTTCTCCGGATCCCTGGAAGCACCCTGGCTTCCCAGGAGACAGAGACCGCCTCCCCTGGAGCGCACCAGTCACAGTCCTGGGACACTTCCCTTACATACTAGATCTCTTTACACTGTCACTAAACCCCAGGAAAATGTGTTATGATTTCATTCCACTATTGGGCTTTTAGCTAGCTTGGATGATTTTGGAAATGAAAATACAGATACAGCAAACATTACAAAGAAAGTGAGTGTAAAAGGACAAACTCAACAGAAATCTTAATTTAGACATGAAAAAGAAAATTGTTTTGTTGAAATCGACAGTTTAAGGATCAAAACAAAAAATACTCAATTATAATTAATGTTTGTACCTTAAATTTTTATAATTATAAAATGTATCATTTTGACTTTTGGGGGGCAGAGCCTGGAGTGTCAGAAATGGACTATGCAGGAGGTTGTTCTACCTTGGCTTTTTCTCTCTTTGCTTTTTAGATTCATAAAAAGTAAGGGAAAGAAAAACTGATGTCTGTAGATTTGCACACACTAGGGATCCCACGCATCCAGGGCCACCCTGGGCTACATCCCCAGTGCTTTTTATTTCCAGACAAGCTCTCACTGAGTTGTTAGGATGCTCAGGTTGGACTCAAGCTTGCAATCTTCTGGCCTAATCTGCCCAGGGTGCTAGGTTTACAGGCAGTGCCAACGTGCCCAACTTCGTTTTGACCACCCCTAAGTGTATAACTCAGGAGCGCCAAGTATGTTCACATGATTGCATAACCAGCATCCCCTGCATCTCTCGAACTCCTTCATCTTCCTGAGATGAAACTCTGTATCTGTTAAACTCTAGACTCTTTGTGCTCGCTGTTGCAACAGCACTTGGTATGGCTTATTTTGTTTTAGGTGCTTCCATTTTTTCACCTTCGCGGTTCTTTCTCGGTCCTTTCTTGGCTCCTTAAATGCCATATTGCACTTAATTGGAGGTTTGTTTAGCCATGTGGCACGATTGGTGTTTTATATATTTTGTTAACTTTTTTCTCTTGCGTCACCATCCTGACTTTTCTTTCTCTATGTCATTTCCTGCAGTGTTGAGTATCCGGGGAGCCCAGGAGGAGGAGCCCACGGACCCGCAGCTGATGCGCTTGGACAACATGCTGCTGGCGGAGGGCGTAGCGGGCCCCGAGAAGGGCGGGGGCTCGGCCGCTGCAGCTGCAGCAGCAGCAGCTTCCGGAGGAGCCGGGTCCGACAACTCAGTGGAGCATTCCGATTACAGAGCCAAACTCTCCCAGATCAGACAAATCTACCACACGGAGCTGGAGAAGTACGAGCAGGTAAAGAAGCACAGCCCTCATGGGTGCTTCAGGAAAGGCTGCAGGAGGCATCACGCTGGAGCCTGTCAAAGGCTCCTCCTGCTTTGGCCAAGCTTAGGTCAGCCAGGCTCCCGTGTCAGCTGTTAAAACCCCAGGCATTCAGTGGAGATAGATGCATTAAAACTTGTGAAGGTGTAAGTGATGATTCTTGAGAAACACAGGCAATCTGAGGAACCCTGGAGCCTTTGCCTGTGAAACTTGGTGTACGGAGGCTTTACAGGCCATCTGTGAAGTGGGATTGACACATACGGTGAACGTTTAAATTTTACAAAAAAATGTATTATAATAAAACACAGTTGTCATTAACCCCTCTTAAAAAACACTTCTCCTCACTTTGAATGCACCTGTCCCCACTTTGAACGTGCTTAGCCCATGGTTTTTGCCACTTGCCAAGACACTTCTGGAAGCCTTCTTCTGGGTGTCTTTAGTTGCACCGTTGCAGCTAAAGTATTTTGAGGGGGACAAATAGCAATGTGTTTTTTACCATAATTTTGTGAGACACAGTCTCACTACATAGATTCAGGCTGGCACTGAGCTCACTATGTAGCCCAGGCAAGTTTCAAACTCATGGCCCTACAATAAATATTTTTAAAATGGTGTATTTTATTCATCTCCCATAGGTCAGTAGTAGGTTACCGCCTGATCTATAGGAAACTGATCTGTGGGAGATTTGGGGCCCTTGTTTATTCCTTATTTTAGAGGATTTTTCTTCTGGATACCCATAGAATCTTTTTTTGGGGGGGGATACCGGGGATTGAACTCATGACCTTGCGCTTGCCAAGCAGGTGCTTAAGCCACTGAGCTAAATCCCCAGCCCCAATACCCATAGAATCTTATAGAAAGGGGTGTTAAAACTTGGCCTTAAAGTACCTCTCTCCCCAAGCTCAGTTCAGTTGAAAGCCAAACATGTTCTCCTTTTTGTGTAATACATGAAATGAGATATGATATATACTTCCTCCATCAGAAAAGTGAGGAATCTCAGGACATTCCTGGAGTCAGACAAGATTGTACTGCAATCCTGCCACTCCACTGACATTTCACGGGACCCACGGGCTCTGCATACTCTATACAAAACCTGAGAGTGCATGACAAAGAACTGTGAATTTGAGATCAAGGTTTTAAAGAGCAAACGAAGGGAAATATAAGAAAGGCTATAAATTACCAAGTAATAAATAAGGGAACATAATATAACATTGCTCCTTTGTACACGTGTGGAATCCCCCGCCTGTTCCCCAACGTGTACAAATCTATACATCAATACTTTTTTCGCTGGTTACTATGAGCAGTACCACTGTATTACGATCCCCTTAACATTAGTCATTCCTGTCACTATTTACCTAACAAATATGTTTGTTGTCACCTCTTTGTATCCAACATAGTCCTAGAGTTCTACTGAACTTCCTTTCATCAGACTGTTTTTCTTTTCCTTATTTTTTATGAATCTAAAAAGCAAAGAGAAAAAGCAAAAAGTAGAAAATCATCCTCAGTATCCATTTCTGACTCTCCAGGAAGAAGGCAAATGCAAACTTAATAGCAAATTTAAATTTTAAAACAGAAATAGGCACTTTGAAATTTAAAGTGAAAGATGTCTCATTATTACACTCCTCTCTACTTTTGAGATACAGTTTTCCACAAAATTCCCTCCTCTAGGTTAGGGAAGCATAAAGCCAAGCATGATGAAGTCCAAGTGTCAGACGAGGTGTAGAGAGGGTGGAGAGAGGAAATGAAAGCAAGCTGTGGTCGGAACCCAGGATTCATCATCCTTTGCTTTCTTGGGAAGGAACAAATGGTCTTGATTTGGTGTCGGCCCTCATAGCTAATTCCCAGATTCTGGGGGAGCCCGGGCTTAGCTGACTGAACCATTACAATTTCTTTCACCAGGATCAGTGGGTTGGAATTTGCAGTCTGCCCTGACTTAAAAGCTTTAGAAGACTTAGAGGAATATTTCCTTGGAAGATTCTTTTCTGACCTCTTGGTTTCTTTCAATCTAGATACACTACCCGTGTTAACTGCAGGCTAATAAGAACGGCTAAGGAGGACCCCAGGACATGACTTCTCCCATTCACAAAACTAGAATAGGTGTTAGGTTGAAGTGATTGAAAACTGGCTTTGTTCTAACCTCAGGATGCCAACAACCGCCCCCCACCCAGAACTGACTGTGTTCTTGACTGAGATCACTTTACCACTCCTCAGCCCTCATCCAAAATGAGTGAAAATTCTGATAACAACATACATTTTAAAAGCATGTTCCCAATGACAAACTACCATGGCCAATGCAATTGCAATTGCTCCTCAAGGCAATTTTATAGATTGGTACCCAGGACCGGTACTGTCATTGTCTATATTTTCATCCAGGTGACCACATGGAGACCAAGATCATGCATCTAATGAGGGGCAGAGTTTGCCATAAAATAAGGCTTTTGACCTGTAGCTCAAGGGCTCTTCCTGGAACTTACGCTTGATTGATTTAAAAAAGAAAAACAAAACAGAGTATGGAAATCTGTAGACACCAAAGGGCCCAGCTTGTCCTCTCTGTCTCCTCTCTGGGCTAGTTTTCTGGCACCTAAGTTAAGTTAGCGATAGAAATGTTCTGTTCAGAAACTTTTTGTGGCTACTTACTTGTTCTAAATAACAAAGATGTTAGAAATTGGGAACTCACAGAAAACTTTTGTTAGTACAGAGTAAATTATGGAAATGTGATAGTAGTAATCTGTACTTATCATGTTTAGACTATGCTAAAGCTTCATTTCCTTACTTATATGGGCATTTTTTAGTGAGGGAGTAAATACTGTTTAGCACATTCTGATGCTGATTAATTGATTAAAGTTAGTTATGTCGTTAATTATAATAAATAGCAGATCATAGGGATATGGTCCTATTAACCTTTTCTGAGTTGGTTTGTCTGAGAGATGTGTCCACTTTAGCAATTCCTTGCGGGGGCATTTTTAAAAGTAAAAAAAAAACCAAAAAAAAAAAAAAAAAAACCCAGTCAATGAAATGTCACTCTTCTTTTCAAAGTAGTTATATGAAATTATCAGATTGAGTGTTTACCAGTCGAATCTGCTGCTTTTGTCTGTTTTTGTTTTATTTTTGCTGTGGAAGCTGCAGCCAAACACACAATAATTAGCTATCAGAGCTTACTCGACACAACACTCCACAGCAATCTGCTCGACTCCCTTGCGTTTCATCCTATGGTTTACTCAATAAAGAAGCTTCCAGAGACTTTCATTAAAAAGAAAAGAAGAAAATTGTTTTCTCCATTAAATGAGATTGGTAAAACACCTTTGCATCCGGTCATAGGGGTAGCCACGGTAGTTAAGAGCCCCAGTATTCTAATAGATCGAACTCCAATGTCAGGAACCGGAATTTTATTCCATGGACTATTTATAAAAATCAGCTTCTTGTAGCTTTGCAAGGTTCTTGAGCATTTATAAAAAATGCCACTGGAGCTAAATATCTAGTGTGGAACTGAGCTGGGTTTATTTGGTGCACAGCAAAGAGAACGCTCAGCTTCCTTTTCTTTTCATTGATGTGATTGGCATCCAAATCCATTGGAAGCCTAAAGGAAAAGGACTGATAGAGATTGCAAGCCATAAGCTTAGCAGCTTAATACCTGGGGCCTCCTGTGGTTCTCTGCAAGGGTGTCCCTTTAGTTTGTTGTTTCCCAGAACACCCTTGTGCAAATCACTCTGCCCTGTGGAAGCAGCTTGAGCCTTAGAGGCCACTCTCCTGAGAGTCTACAGCACACAAATCTGCACCTGGGAGGCTCCTGCTTGCTTGATGATTGCACCGCTGAATATTCCCCTTCCTGTCCCACTGTGAAGGCCTGGTGAAAGTGAGCCGCTGAGCTCCTGACAGTGCCCAGCATGGGGGAACGGAGAAGAGCTGCGGGAGGGCCAGGTTCTGGGAAATCTGGATCCTTACATTCTATCCATCTAAACTGGACTTGGAACTCGTTGCTCTCTGTGGTGTGTTCCTGAGCAGCTGTTTCACAGCTGCTTTGCTCCGGCTCAGCAGTGGGTGAGAGGACTCTGCTGTCTGTGTATTGCAGAGCAGAAAGAGCCCCGGGACAAAATGCCCTGACTAAACATCAGATATTGCATTTTTACTCACCGTAATGAAGCACATGATTAGTAGCCGAGCAGTGGCTTCCCGGCTGAAAGCTGGCACTCTTGACAACAACTCCTGGCATCCAGCCCCTCCTCCTTGGAGCCCTGTGGAGGTAGGGAGGCTGCAGCCCAGCAGGACGTCGTCTTGAGCTAGAAGAGTGGCAGAGACGCTTGCTCAGTGCTGTGGCCTCAGGCTCCATCCTGTGGCCTCAGACTCTCAGCTCTCTTGACGCCAGGTTTTGGTTCCCTCTCTTTCTTGTACACATCTTGGGGCAGTAAAAATTGTGGGTTTCTGTAGCACTTTTCTGAGTAGGCCACAAAATATAGTATATATCTATCTGTATCTATATTCTTTGCTTTTTTAATAGTGCTGAGGACTGAACCCAGGGCATCCTGTATGCCAGCCAAGTACTTTACCACTAATCTACAGCCCAGCCCACCTAAGTTCTCTATATTGTGAAGCCATAATTATGACATGAATTTATGTGGCCAGACAGACATATAGTAATTCATTTCATCACTACTGCATCCTACAAGATACGAATTGTCTTTCCTGTTTCAAAAATAAGGAAAAATAGGCACAGAAATATTAAGGAATTTTGGAGATCCTGTTGCCTCATGAGTGCCGGAGGCAGAGACTAAGGCTTCTGTGTTCTTACCCAGTCCCTCTGCTGTGTCTGTGGGAGTGGCTTTCACCATTCACAGGTCATTATGCACAAGAGCGTGGGTACCACCGTTAGATGTGCTAAAGTGTTAGAACTATGTCCTCTCAAATGAATAAATTGTGGCATAGGATAATGAAAGAATTTGTCCCAGTGTCTATGGAGGCCAGTCTCAGCGAGCTGCCTCTATCCAGCTCAGAGACAGCCCAGTGGATGCATCTGCCTGCCAACCTTTGACCACCTGACTCCAAAGGATTTCTTAGATAAATAATCAGTGATGTGCACAGCTATTACAGTGTTATTGACATAGGAAGGGACTTCGTGCTATAAAAACAACCACAATGCAATATTGTCAATAATGAGCGTGTTTCTGCCGTTAATATTAAGTTGGAGCCTTTCGAGCCCTTAGCTCTTCAATTCTCAATGCATCGTCTTGCCTTTTTCATTACAAATCTAATACAGTTTTACAGCATTGCTGCGAGTTAATCTGTGAATAGATATTTTATTGAATGTTTGGAGAAAGAAACCAGACTACAGCTGCTAAGTAATAGTTACAGGAAAAGGGTAGTGGTTTTCAGAGGCGCATGTAGACGCTCCAGTGTCCCTGGCTTATCACACGAGGCATTCATGCCCTGCTTCTGTTTCTCTTGCTTATGCTGTGCCACAGGAAAAATCCCTTCATCTTCCTGGGCTGCACTTTTCCCAACTGTAATATAAGGAAATCTGATTTCCAGCTTTATGTCCAGAACTAGTACCATAGTATGTTGGTGTGCAGCCCAAAAAAAATAGTTCCCAGACCTTCTAAATCATGTTTTGATACTGTTTTATGAGATCTCTGGAGACAGATTGTCTTTGTGTTATAGACATACCAGATCTACTTAAGGTTGCTACAGGAGGGGTTCTTTAAATAAATCCAGAAAGCTAAATAAAAATAAGTTGATGAGAAATCTCCTAGAAGAATTATCAAAGCTCTTAATTCCATGATTCCAAACTCTTGTGGCTGTGTATACATCCCTAAATTAAATATTTGCAATCTTTACCATAGCACAGATATTGAGTAACGTAGAAAACTAATGAGTTGTCCAATCTCAACTTTCTTTGCTGTTAACTTTGGGGCAAAAAGTGGAGAAGTATATTCTATACTAGAATTTTTTTGTTCTTGCCTTTCACTATGGTAAAATCATTGCAGGAAGTAGTGTGAGGAGCTTAAGTAATTAAATATTTTTCCCTTGAAAGAAATCGAAATGATGACTAAAACTTGGACAACAGGAAATTTAAAGCAGTCATTTATTCTGGTCACGTATGTTGGCAAAATACCATAAACCTGCCTAGTTTTCTTCATTTGTACAAGTTTCAGGGGCTGGGGATTTAGCTCAGCGACATAAGCGCCTGCCTTGCAAGCAGGCAGTCGTGAGTTCGATCCCTGGTACCGATAAAAACGAAAAAGACAAAAAAAAAAAAAAAAACATTTGTACAAGTTTCCAGACAAACTTACCCAGCCTCACACCACAGGCCTGATGCATATGAAGCCGCGGGTCCTCAGTCAGTCCCGTGTTTGTGATCTTGTCCCTGCAGGCGTGCAATGAGTTCACCACCCACGTGATGAATCTCCTGCGAGAGCAAAGCCGGACCAGGCCCATCTCCCCGAAGGAAATCGAGCGCATGGTCAGCATCATCCACCGCAAGTTCAGCTCCATCCAAATGCAGCTGAAGCAGAGCACTTGCGAGGCCGTCATGATCCTGCGCTCCCGGTTTCTAGATGCGCGGTGAGTCCCTGGCAGGGCTGCCCTGTGTCCCGTAGAATCACTGACCTGTCTGCGGTTGCAGCCCATGAGCTGGCCCTCTCTGCAGGCTCCAATTTTGTCAGATTGGCTGTGGAGCCAATATGAGCCTGGATCATGGTTCTGGACTTGGAAAAAGTAAGCTCTGAGATAGAACTCCGCCAGGGAGTACGTGTTTGGTGACAGTTTTGTCCCTATTGCTACCAACTGGGTAAACAGCAAGAAAGCGCTAAAGGAAGCAGGATCTTTGTTCTCAGAGTGCCAAGTGCTTCTCTTAGAAGTGCATTTCATGCTCCGCGTTGGTCCACTGTTTGTCCTCACGGGCTGTAGTGACACACTTTCTCCAAGTGGGTCATTTCTGTTTGTTTGAAAGCTAGGATCCTTCTCACAGGATATAAAGACACAGTGTATATACAGTAACTGAAGGAGGACTTGTTAATAGATTGTCACGCTCCATAGTCATAGTTTGAGAAGTACTGCAGAGGAGAAAGGCAGGGTCTCTTGGACATAGAGGAGCTTCGAGGTGGTCTGGCATGGGTTTAGTTTCTCTGGTGTTTTCTGTCTGACATTGTAACTCATGACTTTACTTAAGCGTTCAAAGCATTCAGTTAAAGAAAACATGGACAGAAAGGTCCTTTTAAAAATCAAAAGAGCTGAGAACAAAGAACAAGTCACCAGTTCTGCTTCCCTTACTCTGTAGACCAATTGATACATGCCAATCCTTCAGATTCTTTTTGCTTCTGATACCAAGCCTGAAAGAAGGTGATAATCGTATTTTTTAATCTCTAGAAAAAACTTTGATGATAGATCCAGTAGACCCATCTCTCACAGAGTGTGGATATGCGGAATCTACAGTTCATCTCAAATTAGTCTTCTCTTACGAATGCATAGACCATCAGTCATTATTTCCATTGCTGAAAATAATCTTAATCTGTGAATTTTACATAGAATATTTGCTGTCAAGATCAGTATACCATTTATGCCCTTTTCAGTCAGACAGAAAGGTTCCCCATTCCTGTTGGATTTTCCCCTCCCCGAATCATGTATCCTACCTACATTTTATTTCTTTCCCTTCACCAGTATAGTCTTTGCAGTTGACGGACCTCTTCAAGCTCCTGGCATTCTCCTAAGGTCTCTTTTATTCGAAGTATTTTGGGTTATATGGAATGCAAAATAAACTTGCCAGCAAGTAAAATGTATCTCTCGCCACTAGACTTTCGTAAAGTCAAGAGAAGTGAAAGCAAAGACAGTTTTTCTCGGCTGTGTATGGAGCGGGTGTGGCCAAGATCCCCCTACAGACGGACCGTCTGTACCTCTTCCTCCCCCCAGGAGCTGCTGCTAGCCTGGGTTCTTTAACACACACCCTTCCCCACAGTGCCAAGCGCAGGTAGGTCCTCACCCCGGGTCCTTCTTTGTGCTGCAGCTACTACCACGGTGCATGTGTTGCTCACATTCCCATGGAAACTCCCTGCCTTAGTTAAAATGCTGGAGTTGGTATTTATGTTGGCAGATAGTGAAAAAGAAAAAAGAAAAGAAAATTTGGGTCCAGGCTGAGTTCTTTTCAAGAATGTAATTGGTAAGAAAGATGGAGCAGAATCTTTGTCTTGTTAGATTTCTTCTTGCAGTAATTCTGCTGTGCCCCGCTGAAGGTCAGATTCTAAAAGGCATCTGAGGAGGGGCAAGCTTTGTACACCGTTCCTTTCATTTCCACCAGCCTCAGCCTGGATTGTCCCAGTTGGCACCAGAGGAATAATCTCTGTAAGACAGGGTCTCTGTCTTGCTTTACTTGCAAACTTTGAATCATTGTGCCTGAGCCAAGATCCGAAACTGAAACAATTGACCTACTGTCATTGTTATTATCATTTTATTCTGTGGCTCTATTTATTATCCACAAAACAACATCACCCCAAATGCCAGCCCAAGGCTGAGCAAATGGCTTTCCCAGCTCACAAACAAATGTTTGCCTAGACTTCCTGATTGGAAAATTCACATCATTTCTTTTATGTCACTAGCTATAATTGGAAGAGAGAGCCAAGCAAAATGTAGTAAAAAAAGATACAGTACTCACTGTGGGCACTCACATGCTGCCCTACAGCATACGTCTGATGGGTAGGGTCTGTGGGGTATGTGCGCAGCATACGTCTGTGGTCATCCAAAAGAAGAAGAAAAACTTGATGGAAGACAAATAAAATATAAAGAGGACTTGATTTAGTAAAAAGATTAGTCTTAAGTTTGTAGAATTGCTTGTTAACTCCTTTGTTGTATAACATGCTTTCTATTAGCTTTCCATTGCTATGGAGTGGATTAGCTCACAGGTGTATTTCCCAGTTTCTATCAGTCAGTGGTTTGGGTCTGGCTCAGCCAGGTCTTCCGCTCTAGCATCCTCACAGCTGCGATCAAGGTGTCTGCAGAGGTCGGGATGGCATCTGAAGCTCAGGATCCTTTGAAGGTTCCTGTTTGCTGGTAGAAGATGGTTCCTGAAGATTCCTGGTCTGAGAATCCCTGTTGCAGGAGCCTGGAGCCTGTCCTCCTCTGTGGCACAAGTGTTCTGCTTCTTTTCTTTGTGGATATGGGAGACTCTCTTTAACCAAGTCTCCTTTTTTATTCACTCAAAGTGAATTGATTAGTAATTTAATTGTATTAGTAATCTAATAGACAGTTGTGTTTGCCACTCTAGGCAGTAGCAGAGGAATATGCACATACCAGGGTTGGGGACATTAGCATTTCACCCAGCACAGTTCCTGGCCAAGCACTTGGCTGAGGTGTATCTTACACAGCTCGTGTCCTTTTTCTTCCATATATTAGCTGTGCCAAAAGGTGCAACTTAAAAATTCACTCATTCATTCCCTTATTTATTCAGTATCTGTCATCTTACTGCTGTGCCCCAAGCATGGTGCCGTCTGCTCGGTAAGTTTTTTCAAAATTACAAAAGTTTTCTTAAAGGGTAGGAGAGATATTTTTAAACACTCTAAATGATTTTCAAGCAAAAGGTTTAATGAATTTTTTCTGTGACATTTTGTTAGAAACAACAATAATAACATAAGCAATGATGAGAAATCTGCTTTGGCACTTTATACAGATAGAGATTAGATAAAATGAATTACCAAAGGAGAGAATGACAAGGGAAAAAAAAAAGAAAAAGGAATCCAGTATGTTCTAATCAAATGACAATGAATTTAGACCTATTTATATATCAAATTGAGCCCGTAGTATCGGCCAGATGCTCTGTTACCCACTAGGACTGACAGAGATGACAAAAATATTTATAAACACAGGTTCAGCCTTCAGAGTTCATCATCTCATGGGACAAAAAGGCAATCTTACAAATGCCCAGAAAAGTGGCTGCCACACTCTTAAGTACATTCATCAGCCAATCCCACCGGAAGCACAGCAGATCCGAGGGGAGGCCAGATCATACTGAATTCCAGAAGAGCAAGACATTAACCAAGTAATAAAGGGATAAGAAGCAAAGTAGCACAACTTAATTCAAGTTTGATAAGCACTACTTACCTGAGTGCTTACTCTCGATTAGATACAAAGGTTTCAAATACAGGTGAGACACAGCTCCCACCCTTGTGGAATTTGCTGTTGAGTTGGGAGCTATATATAAACTTGTGACAAGTGCCATGTTGGAAACAGGAGTGAAGAGCTAGGGGAGCGTGACAGCCATGGTTAGTGCATAACTATGACATGGATCATAGTCCATATGACATGGATTGGGAAAAATGTGCAGAGCATAGACCTAGGAAATAGGATGGATCGCTGAAAAGCCTTAGCTTTACCAGTGAGGATTTGGAATCTGCTCTGATAAACTAACGAAATTCTCAGAACCACTCAGGGAGAGAGTGTTGGAAAATACTAGATAAGCCCTATCATTAGATTCAGATTCTTTCCACAGTCCTGATGCTAAGTGGCTCATCCTGCCCCCAAACACTCAGTTTCTGTATCTATAGAACAGGAGTAACTCTGCAAACAGAAATAAACAGCAGTGTCTGAAAAACAAACTTGGTATAATGTTTGGCACATAGTATTCATGCTGTGATTCAGGCCCAATAATAACGATTACTAGATTATCTATTGTTCTGTTCATCATCATCCCGTGAGTGGATTCATGCTTTAAGAGGATGGCTCTAGTGATTCCTCCGAACATGAGCTGGGTCAACAAAAACCTGCAGCAAACTATCGCTTCAGCCTGTAATCCCCAGCATGGAGCTAGAGAGCTTAAGTATGAAATACCTTCTTGTGTTATGCAAATATTCAAGAAAACCTTCTCATTTGAAGGTGAATATTTGTATATCATGTAGCAGAGCAAAATAGGAGGTCATTGTAGACATTTTTTGCTTTCTGTGGTGTCCCATACCTGGGCTGCGTGGGCACCATTACCAGAAAGCGTCAGTCTAGAGTTATACTGCTTATTATATAGCTATTTGATTCTATATTTAGATTAATTAAAATATCAAATTCTAACACATAACACTATACTTCAGAACTCCGTTCTGCAGCTACACGTGTGCTAATAGCTACTATATTTGTGACACAGGTACAGCACCGTCCCTTGTCCCAGAAGGTGCTCCTGGACCTCAAGACAGCAACTGGTTCATCCAAACCCACTTCAGAACTAGTGGTGACAGGCGTGGGAGGAGAGAAAAGACAGAGATGTGACAGGACAGTACTGGCAGAGCTTTCTCTGCGGTCAGTTATCTGATGAGGATAATACCAGAGATGTTAAAAATCACCTCTCTTTTGTGCCACAAATCAGACACTCAGCTACCGGACTGAGTCACTGAATGAACAAATTGGAAACCACTATGCATGGTTTCTGTGCTGGTGTCATGCAGCAGTATGTGCTGATTTGGGGGAAAGGCCATGTTGGTTTTGGAAGCAGTTTGCCTGTGGCTGCCTGGCGTCTGCAACGGCTTTCAGGAGGAGGATTAGTGCAGGCGCTGACACAGTGGTAGTTAGGGGTAGAAGTCTGTGATGCCTCCGTCTCTCGCTGTTACAAGTCTTTCATGAAAAATGTGCCCTGTGACCTTATGATCCAAAAGATAGCTTTCCCTAAAGTATTCTATTTATCTAGTAATATTTATTCAATATCTACTTTTCTTACATTAAATACTGAGACACTCTCTAAGGGTCTGATTGGCTTGAAATCACAAATGTTAACTTACTTCAAGTTATGCCAAGAAATCAGGTATCTCAGTTAGCTTGAGCTTAAATGGCCTATATGATCTTAAACTCTAAATTCTAAAAATATCCCGATCCTACAACGTCAAAGGCCATAGGTTGAGATGGCTACTGAAAGAGATGATAAGCATATCCATCAAAGTGGATGAGACCACTCAGGGAAGAGTGAGCATCACAACACGGAGAGAGCCAGGAACAGCTGTCTGCACCATCCCCACTCACCCCAGAGAGGCTTCCTTGGAGTTCAGTTGGAAGAGTCCCAAAAAATACACTGTAATGCTAATGCAAACAACCATATGAATAAACGGAGACTCTCACAATAAGGGGAGCCTTTGGGTCCATATCCCCAGGCCTAAAACAACTGTCTTTCTCAGGCAAAGAAGCAGCCACCAAAGGTTATATAAAGACCAGCATCAGCCACTTGGCTATCTTCCTCAAATTCCCATCATGCAAGAGCTCTTAACACATGCCTACTTTTTACTTGGGCCTTTTAATCCAATCTGTCCAATTTCTGATGCTGGGTGACCCAGAAACTCAGCATGATTTGGGAGAGTGGCTTGGGCTTGGCATAATCTGGACAGATGTGGTTAATACCTGTGGACAGATGGTGTTCATCCGGTAAAATCAGGTACTTTATTGTGTTAATTAATCCAAGTGGGACCCTGAAAATACAATATTAGCTGAATTTCCTATATAGCAAGGCCATCCGTGCTTTCTGTTGGGTAAATTGGGAAATTCTGTATTCTGGCATAGCCAGAGATGTTCTGGAAATCTTTTTCCATGAGAAAAAGCATTTGATAAAAGCAAGGAAGACAATAGTGCTAATAGAGATAATTTGAAGATGAAGGCCCCAGGACTTCAAGGAGAGCCAACCGAATCCGCCATGAACCCGGAGTCCCCCAGCAGCTGCCCAGGCTATCCACAGGCCTGAGCTGGAAAGAAGCAATAAAGTGATTCTCACTTGAAATTAGTTTAATTAACACTGTTTTTTATAGGCAGAACATGCTTTTATTTGAAAAGTAGTCTTCTTCCTTTTGGCAACCTGTATTTGAAAAAGATTTCCATGGGCTTTTGTTCTACCCTTTAGCAGCTGTTGCTGCATAAGCAGGGCCTCTTTTTCTCCTTTTGAAGGAGGTCAGGCAGCCAGGGGGTTAATTTCACTCAGTTCATTGCCCTCTTCCCAGATGCCTTTTTAAAATGTTGCATCCATTTATATGAGGAGAGAATGGAGAGAAAATGATAACTTATTTTTAACTTGCGGCTGCAGCATCTCTGTGCCAGCAGCCAATTCATGTAGAAGGAAGAGATTGGGTTTCAGAGTCAGGCAGACCTGAATTAACATCTTGGCTCTCCAACAACATACCAGCTAAGTGACCTTTGAATGGGGCTTTTCAGCTGTAAATAGGAATAAGCCTGTCTACCTCACTAGTCCCAGATGTGAACCACTTGAATTGATTGCTATGACATCAAAGGAAGAATTGTGTTTTAGTCACTTTTCCAGCATGGCAACAAAATACCTGACACCTACAACTTAAAGGAGGAGAGGTTTACTTAGGTTCAGGGTTTCAGTCCGTGATTTCCATACCCCAAAGGAGGAACAGGATGCAGAGGGACACCAGGAAGCAGAGAGAAAAAAAGAAGAACCAGAGATAAGAATATATCCCTCCAGGTCATTTTTTAATTGAAGAAGGTGAAGCTTAGATAAGCAACCCAAATAACTCTGCTGATACCCAGTTGACCCATGATTCAAAACCAAGATGGCCCGGATCTTGTGTATCGTCATTCTTCCCTCTGGTGCACACTGCAGTACTGACCAAATGCCTTTCATGGTTTCAGTGTCTGGCCCTTGTTGGCAAATCTGTTATTCATCTTTTGCCCAAAAATGTGTCCTCTCACAGAAATTGATCCTTTTCTCTCCCTTGTATTTATTTAATGCAAACTTTTTTGTTGTTTCCTTTCCTTTCTCTTTATGGAGGCGGAAGAGACGGAATTTCAACAAGCAAGCAACGGAGATCCTGAATGAGTATTTTTATTCCCATCTCAGCAACCCTTACCCCAGTGAGGAAGCCAAAGAGGAGCTAGCCAAGAAGTGTGGCATCACGGTCTCCCAGGTCAGTAACCCCTCGAAAGACCCAGCCTGCAGTCTGCATAGTAGGTGTTCTTGGTGATCTTGCTTTACTGAACACCTGTGTCTTTGAAGTTCTGTTAGCTAAAGAGGTTAAGACAGTGAGAGAAGCCCGTGATGTGTGTAAGAGAACTGCAAGGTAAGTACCTAAAAATGTGAAAGGACCCACCAGCGGGGAGAGAATCATAGAAGAAGCCAGTGCAAAAACAGGAATAAAGTTCCTCCCCTGAGCACTCCTTGCGTCAAATAGGTGGAGTTTCTTTCCATGTACTTAGAAAACCATCTGTATTTCTCCTACTATTTCTGAAATTTAGTCAATTCCTTCCTTCCTTAGTCCATTTTTTACTCACTAACATTAAGAACGGGTGAATGAAACCAGTCATTCTTTGTCCTTAAAGGAAAGAGAATTAAATGTCATTTCTTAATGTGCTTACTCTGTAACCTACAGGATGAAGAAATTTTAACATTTCATTATTGCCCTGGAATGGTTGCACAAAGTGTCACCAAGGGTCTCCTTCCCCCCCAAAATACATTAACTGTAGCTGGTACCTGCTGAGTGGAAATGTACATGGTATAAAATTTTTATAGACCTAGAGTCTTCAACATTAATGTGAAGTAGATAAGTAAGCAATAGTACATCTGTTTTTCTACTCCAAAGGTCCATCTAAACGTCTTACTTAGTGTGACCTTTACGTATCAATCCTGGTCTCTCATTGAGACCTTTAGTAAGAAGACTGAAATCTGTCAGTTTTTCTCAAAATTACATCACTTGTAACTAATTGTGCCAGTGTTTCCATTAAGGGATGACAATGGAGGAGAGCAGAAGAAGTCTACTCAGGGGAGAAACTTCACTAAATATTTTTCAAACCCAGTAAATGCTGTTCTTTATAAACCAAGTCTGTCCATCCTTGCTTGAGTTAAGTCCTAACTCTGTTACTCCCAGTAGGGAGATCGATCAACCCGTACTTAGCTAAGCAAAATAGGGTCCAGTCAAAATAGAAAAGGGCACCCCAAAACATATTTATAAGAAAAGGATCGCTAATCATTCTTGCAAAAATTTTCCTGGATAAGACAGAATGAACAGACTCCTTTTTAACCCAGGCACTCCTCCTCAGACCTCTTTGACCTCTCACTGAGGGTCATTTCCAAACTTGGCAGTTTCAGGAAAACAGAAATCAACAGTCAAACTCAAATAATCTAGTTCCACACCCCTAAGACAATATCCATTCTTGTCTGAATCCAGACCTCTGTTTACCAAAAAAAAAAAGACAGAAAGAAAAGAAATAGAATGAAAAGAATGAATGAATGAAATAAAAGGAAAAATAAGGGTTAATGATGCTTTTTAATGATTTTCTGCATGTTTGAAGAATGGCTTAAATTTTACAAATCAGTACACTAGTTATATAATCTTCAATGCTGTTTTTATTGTTTGTTTTTTCTTACCTGGTGCTGAGGATTGAACCCCAGGCATTGTCCACACTAGGAAAATGATCTAACCCTGAGCTGCACCCCTAAGTTTCTGGGATCTTCTGCTTCTAGAGTAGAATTAAATCACTACTTTTAGAATGCCAATTCTGAGGTTCAGAATTTCAGATCCTTCTAAAAGTGAGAAAATACAGCAGTAACTTAGCCCCAGAAGCTAACTTATATTACAGCTCGATAAAAATTTTCGTGGGACCCTGACTCAAAATAAAAAATAAAAAGAGCCTGGAAAAAACATCCCCAGTACTACTTAAAAAAAAAAAAGAAGAAGAAGAAGTAAACCTTTCTAACAACCTTTACTATTTTTTGTTACAGAAATTCTTGTGCATATTTCATTTGATACAGTAATTATTTACCCACCATATCACTGATTCTTTCCTCCACCCACCCCAAGGCTTCCCCATCAGCTCATCCCCCACCTTCTAAGAGCAACGATTTGCCCCACTGTTGCCAAACGAGTCCTCGTGGGACACAATATAGTATGATTCATAGAACCAACGTTATGTTAGGGACACATTTTTGAGAAAGGTCAACTGGAAATTCTAGGCAGAATGTAATTATTGGATGCATTTCACGTGGACTTGAACATATGAGCATATTTTTGTTGATTTGGAGAATATTCATTGTCTCATCTACAAATGCTAATTGGTTGTATCATATATTAAATATGCTCCCAAGTTTTCTTATCTATGAAGGGAATTACTTACTGTCTTTCTTGTCTTTGTAAATAACCGCTCTTTTTTTCTTAAAAAACCTACCTTGATTTCCTCTAAGTCCCCTCTTCTTTTCTTAGGCAACTCTTGCCCTGTCTTCTTAGAGAGTCTACTCTCTACCTATCTACAACTATTTTTATTCTTTCTTTAGTTCTTATCTCTACATAAGCTAACCAGTGGTCCTTTGACATTCTTTGGTGGTCACACATTCTATTGTAATCTACTGAAAACTATTGATTACTCCCTGGCCCAAAACAAAAATATGCTCATACACCCAAGTCTGTGTGAGCTGTACTAATAACTACACTCTCCCTAGACTTGTAAAGAATCCTTCCACAACAGGGCTCCTCAAAGTACGAGCCGTCACCTATGCCTGGGAGCATGTGAGAAATAAGTGTAAGCTCTGTGGACTCACGACAGAGTCCTAGATCACAGTCTCTGAGAGTGGGAACCAGAAACATTTTTCAAAAGCTACCCATGAGAACTTGACTTTCAGACACACTGATGTGTTCATGCAAAGCTGCAAATGTCCATCCCTCTACTTGACTATCCAGATAGGACATGAGAAGTCCTATCTCTAGCTGGACTTCACAGTGGCTCTACCATAGACTCACGGAACTTTGCAAGTTCATAATGGGAATCAAACCCTGCCCAAAAAATCCATGATTCTTTGGGGCTCACACTGTGTCTTGTGTACATCCCTAGTGCCAAACACATACTCAGTTCTTAGTCTGTGACTACTGACCGATTAGCCAATTAATGAGAATGAACTACCCTCATCTTTTCTTCCAGTTACTCTGAAAAATCTCCTTCTTGTTTTCCTCTCTTCCTATTCACTTATGACTCAAGAAGCAATGATAGCCATGATTGACTGAAGTGAATAGTGGAGGTAAAATCAAGAAAAGTGTGAATTTCAAAGTGAAATTGCATATACAGTGATCCTGAGATAAACTCCTTCAGCTTAACTTTTTTTCTGAATCTACACTAAAGCATCTTGAATTTTTTCTCTCATTTACTAGTATCTCCATGATAAAATTTCATTTTATAACTAAGTCCTAGTACTTTTGCTATCACCCAAATTGCATACACTGTGAAGGCTGGCTTTATAAGGTATTTTAACTTTTCAATGAATTTTTTTAAAAAGTGGTTTTGCAAGGATTTTTTCATCTTCCATTTGATGGGGAAAGGATGAACATAAATTGTCTGCAAGCCATGATCCATGTGTGTTCAATTCACTTTTCCCTCACCAAATTTAGTTTGTTTTATAATTATATACAAAACACAGCATTTTGGTTCAAAACTCACATATGGAATATGGGGTATAAAACTTTCCTCCCCAAGGCGAGAATTATAGGAGTCAACTTGAATTTGACTATGTCTTCTCTTGTTTCTAGCCGAGGTCTTTGTATGAAAGGAGCAGAGGTCCCAAATCAAACCAGGACAGCTGCTGGGAGCCACATGAAGGATACAAATTAACAAATGCAAATAAATTAGGGTTATTGTGTATATTGGCTTTAACATTTAAAGCCTGAAATCCAAAGAAATAAGCAATGTGTGTTTTGGCTTTTCCTTATATTCATAACACCGAGCTTTGCACGAACTATTGGGTGAAATATGTTGGATGCAATTGTATTGATCCTGAAGTCTGTAACACCTGCAGCTAAGAATGAGTCCATATTAAAGTTATTTAAACTTTTGAAAAATTGAAATTAATTTATGCATGAAAGCACCCATATGTTAATATAGATTTATATGGATATTTAAAGGTCTGTGTATTTTAATTGTGCTAAGTCAGCTTTAGCATTGATAAGAAACAGGCATTTCTCCTGGTATGTTTATTTTAGTGTCATAAATTAAGTGGTAAGCAAATTTAAAATGCTTGCTTTGAATTTAAAAAGTCCTGGCTTAAATGAGTGGATCTTCCATAGGAAAATTCTTTACCACAGTGTTTTTACTAGATTTTGGTTCTATTAAACAAGAGAATCTCCATCTATGTTGTTCTGTTCAAAGCTGTCATAAAGCTCTTATTTCAGATCTCTTAACTGATGCTGCAGAACCAGCAGCAGGATAAGGATAAGACCCATTCATGTACCTCTTCTTCCCTATTGTAAACCCTTCTTTTCTTACTGCAATGTTTGTAAAGAATGAAATGTTAAGTTTCTTATTTTCTCTTAAACTGCTGTAGGTATCAAATTGGTTTGGAAATAAGCGAATCCGGTACAAGAAGAACATAGGTAAATTTCAAGAGGAAGCCAATATTTATGCTGCCAAAACGGCTGTCACTGCTACCAATGTGTCAGCCCATGGAAGCCAAGCTAACTCACCCTCCACTCCCAACTCAGCTGGTTAGTTTTTTCTTTGATTTTGGGGGATTATTCTCCATTTTTGTTCTTACACTGGGTTTGGGTTTTAATTCTGAAGTTTTGATTGGTTGTTTATGTATCTAATTATCCTTGTATTGTAGATACCCCTTTGGGTTTTCCTTTCATAGCCAAAAACGATATTTTATACTGTTTCCAGGATGGTGTTGTCTAGGAATTTGTTTTCATTATTGTATCTGCTTACACTGAGGCAGAGGTATAGTGCTTGATTTTGATCATGCCTTTAAACACGGAGACTCCAGTAAATAAAATAAATTTAAGATTGAGGTATTTCCTTGGAGTTCAGCCATTTAGTCTTTTTCATAAAATTTTGTCTGTTTTGCTGTTCTCACCACATAATATCTGAGTCACCTGTTAGCATGCATTCAATGCTGTAATATTTCTTCTAGCAATATTATTAGCAAATTCTGATCTTCAAAGCCAGGCTATAATTATTTCTGTATATTATTTTGAATGGTTATTCTTTATTATATTGATTTTCCTTGTGTAAACTACATAGGAAATTACCAGTCATTAGTTCAGATTCCAGTTTTCATGTCATACTATCAGTTGTGTGCTACATAGTAGTAGGTTTTATTTTTTATTTTAGTGAATATGCATTGTGTCACTAATTCTAGAGATTAGTCAGGACATAATATATTTTTGGGAATGCCTTGGGCCATCAGTTTTGAATTTCCACAGTGAAAAAATTCACTTATGCATAAAATATAACTTTAATATTTGTATGCAATGAGAAAATGGTATGCTTTTCCTTCATTTTTGATAAAAGAGAAACAAATGTTTTCTTATTAAATAAGTTTTAATATCAGATTATGGTACTACCCACACTGAACAAGTTGTGCTGATTTTAGCTGTTGAGTGCACATATAAGAACAGTGATGGTATTAATAAAATTATAACAAATTTAAATTTATTTAATTTTAATATGATTGCAAATCTAATTTCTAGTACTTCTTAGAGTACTTGGTATCTTTGACCCCAAAGTCTGTTTGTCCACTAAAACAAGTCCTCTTTCTGTCATAAGGTGGCTTATTATTGGAAACGTGTAGGACTCCACACACTAATACTGTCTCATCTGTGAGCTTTTAGAGGCACTGATTTATCATAACTTTCTCCAAATCACTGAGCCGTACAGTCCTCGTATCCCTTTTGTTTAAATGGAATCAGGCATGAAAGGTGTACTGGGTTTTGTAAACATGAACACGGTAAAACAATGTAAATTTTAGTCTGGTTTTCTGTTTTCCAGCTCTGCTGCTTGAGTTCCTCTGAGAAGCATATTTGCTTTTTGAAGCTTTTGTTTTGTTCTCTTCTTTCCCCATGCTGGTGTGATTGACAAAGGGTCAAGGCTAACTGGTTCAATAACCAGGGAGTTTCCTTCTTCTCCATCTGGTCAATTATTAAGCATTTCAGACCCAACAACGCAAGTTGAACTGCGCTGTGAGGCAGACATTTTCACTTGTCTCTTTGGAAGAAGTACAGTTCTGTCAACATTAGCAAAAAATGCACTCAACACTCTTGCAAAGGTTATCATAATGCAAAACAGATATCAAAATGACTTTTTCCCTGTCCCTGATATATCTGCATCGCAGATGGCTTAGATGATTTATGACTGGTCCCTAGAAGGGCCCTGTGGACTCCCTTCATTACTAAATCCGTAACTATTAATTCTTTCCTAAAGCCCTTAAAAAGAGAAAAGTAAGCATTTAAATCCCTATTTCAAAATTATGTGGGCTCTTACTGAAGGCCAGCCGGTGACTAGTTTTCTAAGGAATTTTTCCGGTGCCTTCAACTTCATGTGACTATTCTGAGCACAAAGTAAGTTATTACAGAAAATTTGAGCTAAACCTTCCATTTGCGCCTAAGTTGTTGGAAATAGCCCTCAGAGGAACCCTTTGTAGTGTTTATCGTAGAGACCAAAGAAAATGCCAGTGTACATGTGCAGTCATGTGAGATTCTAAAAGTAGTGTCCTAATAGAAAAAGTTACAAATGTGCTTTTCTCTATTTTATTCCGATCTGTACCCAAATCAATACACAGATAAAGTGATGTGTTCCAGTTTTTATGTAGCAGGTATATTTTGTTATATTGGCTTTTAATACTTAGTTAGGTTGTTTTTGATTTTGAAGCAGGGTCTCGCTATGCACTTGAAAATGGCCTTGAATGTGCTATGTAGACCAGGCTGATTTCAAACTTACAAGTCATCCTCCTGTCTCAACTTTCCAAGGATTGGGATTGCAGACATGTGTCACCGTGCCTGGCACAAATTTTAAACAACAGGTTAACATGTGAAAATATATTTTGATAAAATTGAAGTTCAGAGTTCTGTAACCAAGAAATTTTTATTTTATTTTACTTTTTCAATTCTGGGAACTGAACTCAAGACACTGAGCTTTATCTTCAGTTCTTTTTGAATTTTATTGCAAGGCAGGGTCTTTCCCTAAGTCACTAAATTTCTAGGCTGGGCTTGAACTTGAGATCTTGCTGCCTTGGCTTCCCAGTGCTGAGATTCCAAGTGTGCACACCTCTCCCAGTTCCAAGCAACTTTCTGTACCCTCAACACTGAGGCAAGAGTTTTTCCCAGAAACTTTATCACATTTAAATGCTCATTTCTGCTGTAAGGAAATAATCTCTCCAGAGGCTTCTCTCTGGGGTCAGCAGAACCTTTACTTAGGGCACTTCTAAACATTCCCATTTGTTAAAATTTACCTTTGTCTCCTTTTCTTTAAGCATATTTCATAAAGATCGTAGGGGACTAGGACCTCTGAGGGATTGACAAGCATTTAGGGACATTCAGGCTGCTTCATAGCAGAGTTGAGCAAGACAGATGGGGGGAAAGGCAAATCAAAGGAAGGAAAGTTGAGTTGTGAATAAAGAAGGCAAAACTGGAGACCAGTTGAGGCAAACATACATGCTTATTCAGAAGAGACTTAGAGTTACAGAGACCTGGAGTAATGTATCTTCAATCTCTTGTTTTGATGAAATATCAAAGCATGAATAGAGACTTTAGGAAAATGAGGGCCCTTTCTTAGAAGCAACCATGAAACATAACTAAACTTGCATCTGGTGAAGAGGATCTATCTTTTGTGCCTCCAAATGGATAGGAGCTCATTCTCATTGTACTGGTAACATCATCTATCTGGAGAAATTAAGGCAATTATCTGCCATTATGCTGCTTTATAAAAATTGCATGCTCGGAGAGAAATAATAAAACATTACTTGAAAATACTTAGAGGTTCTTACGAGAGAAAAGTAAATCCATTCTTGTTCTAGGCCGTTGATTCTCTTCTGGGGGCAAATTTGAACCCCAGAGACATGCAATACTACCTGTAGACATTTTTAGTTGTGATAATTTTGGAAGGAAATGGTGGATAGAGAAGAGCATAGGGCATGTGGCAACCTTCCTACAGTGCATAAAATAAAATATTCCCACACCAAAGAATTACTTGATCTAAATGTCAGTAGTACCAAGGTTGAGAAACCCTGCTATGGGCTTTACTGTTATTATTTTAGGTTTGTATATTATTATTATTCTTTGAATAGAAGGTTATGAGATTAGTGGGGTTTAGGGGATTTTTTGGTTTATTTTGTTCTTTTTTTTTTTTTGGAATAAAATAACCTTTTCTAAGGATTCTTTAAAGTAGGAATGCAATCTTTGAGAAAATGGGTGTTAGCATATTTTCACATCATGACACTGCCCAAGCAAATGAATTAGAATCCTAAGTAGTCCTTTATTTCTTTTATGTCTGGTTGAGTATAGATGTGTCTCTCTACATGTCCTGGATATCTCTGCAGCCTCCATTCTTAAGCTAAATTCAGATCTTTTAAACATTCAAAAGCACCTTACACTGTAATTCTAGCGATTGCTGATTACTCCACAGCATCCTGCATATGAGATTCCCAGTCAGCAAGCCAGATAACTTTATCAGCTGTTGGAGAATTCACAGCACCTCCATGAGAGTCCATTCATTTTTTGTCAGGGTGCTGTGCTCTTAGGAACCTGTCTGGTCCGTGATAAGTTCCTTCCAACTTCCTTTGCTGGATAGAGATTGTGGCTGCCCCCTTGTTTAGATTTTTTGTGTGGTCTTCTCCCTGCTTAATTGTTTTCTAGTGGCACCTGCTCTTTTCCTTCAGTGTAATCACTGCCTCTAGATACTCATTAGAGAGTCGGAATCCATGGTAGTGTTGTACGTGGGTGTACAGAGGCAGTGAAATGCTGAAACAGCACAGCCAAGAGCACAAGGGACTATTTTGGCGATCACTTTCCTGATACAAATGCATCTTTACATGAAGTACATTTATATGCACATATTTATCCATGTACATTGGACAGCCAGACATATTTGCAGTTTATCATGCACATATATTTTTAAATCATCTGTGTCAATTGCAGTGTACATCTTGTAAATGGCACATTCCATGCCTTCATGGTTCCACAAATGCCATGTTACTTGGCATTGTGTAGCCCTGTGGGAGTTTCTCCCACTTCTCAGTTTGTGTGTTGGTTGCCAATAAACCATCAGCAAAGCATACAGTGCGTGTATTTATTGAATGGTATTTGTGGGGGAAAGAAAGAACCCGAGCCTTGAACTTAGCTCTCATAGGGGTGGGTAGAAAGAAGTCTGATGATGTAAAAACAATTGTAATTTGGGATCTTGTTTCTGATGACATCTAAGTACAAGCATGTATTGTGATACTTACTGCAATGGCTTGCATTATTTAGGTATTATCTCTGTGATTACAAAAGAGATTTGAGGGAGATGTAACCAGTACTTAGAGTCCTGGGTATCATATTAACAAGAGAGTGGGACCTGTGCTACCCCATGCCTCATCCATAGGTTGACTGGATACTTTCAGAGATTTGCACCATGTTAATAACAGGAAGCTCTGGGTCAAAGCCTTCATGTCACTGAATATAAGCCACAGCTGGACAACTCTTATGCCCACTCTGCTAAGATTCCACTGTTCTAATTTCTTTTAGATAAGTTAATGAGAAAAACAGTGTATGCCAGATGAGACAGGATCTTTTGCAGAGCTATGAAAATGTCACAGTCCTTTGGTTGATGCTTGAGCTACTCCCCTGTCTCCCTGAAGAGAGCACTTCTTCATTGCCTATTTTCTGGGAAAATAGGAATGTGGTGCTAGCTAGACGGAGGATCAGTTTTATATAGTACAGTGGTTAGCTAGTGCTTTACATATAGGTGAAAATCCCACGCACAGAAGCAAAGTTTAGCATCACTTGTTAAGTAGTCCTTTATGGAATAGACTTCTCCCATTTATATGCAGCTCTCCCTGGGAAGCAGGGCAAGTCTCTAAGAGAACTCAGATCCTTATCTTGGAGGAAGCAAAGCAAGTGTCACAGCTAAGGCATGAGTCATGATTGGGCGATTCCCCACTGATGATGGCTGTCTCAGAATACCAGGGCGAGACCACTATTTAAGTGTAGGGTTTAAAATAAAGAATGCAACTGACCTGGGTCCCTGAGGTCTCTTCTTTTCCAGGCTAACGTCATGTTTTAACCAAACCTTGCACGTTGAGCTTTCTTTCCTAATGCGCTGAGCTGCACGATGTCTTCCGAATAATATTAAGCTTTTGCTGGCCCTTGGGTTTAAGTTGAGATTGGGAGGAGGTTCACCACAGTGGAGCCAGTGGAGCCTGGGTAGTACCAGGGTGGATCTAAAGACTGACTCTGTGGACGAAGCCTCCATCCCTGGGATGTGAAAACAGTGACTCCCTGTCCCTCTTCAGGTCCACTTTAGAAATTATTCTCATTATTGTAAGCAGCATCTCATATTTCATGTCTGCTTGAGAATTCCTGTCCCATTTGTCAGTTTTGTCCTTCTCTATACTGACAGCAGGGAAGAGTAGATCATTCTCATGTGTTCGTATAATCCTCACGGCTCCCTGGGCTCCTGCCATTCAGCCAGGAACTTGCCATTCTTTGCAGAAATCAAGAATGTCAGGATATACCAGGGCCAGCCCTAGTGTGTGACATTGACTCTTTGTCCTCTCCTCCCCAGTGCTATGCCCCATTGAGTAGATGGTTTTCACGGTAGCATATTTAGAATCCAATTGAGTAGCTAATGTGCTCCGTTGTGGTGGCTGGAGAACTGTTGATAAGCCCATACACTCCATCTTTTGGTCCTCCATGGCCAATCCTACTATGTTAGAGGCATGAAAGAGAGCTGTACTAGAAACTAAGTTGAGAAGAATAAATGGTCCATTTCTCAACTTGGAGTTGCTAAGCAGAACCAGTCCCTAGTGACAATTTAGAATAAGGTGTAACTTCATATAACACCAACAATATGCACCCTTTATTGCTTGCGCTATTCTTCATGCTACTAACCAGACTCTGTTGATGTTATTGTTATTTTAGTTTTTATTTGGGGGTTGCTTTGCATGTCATTCTTCCTCTTGGCTGTTAGTTGCGGGGGTTGAGCCTTTTCCTTTCTGTGATTCAGGTGCCTCACTCTTTCCTTTCCAGGTTCTTCCAGTTCTTTTAACATGTCAAACTCTGGAGATTTGTTCATGAGCGTGCAGTCACTCAATGGGGATTCTTACCAAGGGGCCCAGGTTGGAGCGAACGTGCAATCACAGGTAGGGACCCAGCCAATATGCTGCCCAGTGGGTGCACTAGAGTCCTAGTGCTCTCAGTCGTATTGGCTTCCTGCTTCTGTCCAAAGAGAGGGAAGGAAGAAGAAAGAGAGAGGGAAATCAAATTCAACCAGACTAAAACAAAGACAACCGCTGTTTTAGGGAATCTTGTCCACACTTTGTGAATGTGTTTGGCTCTGGCTTGTCACTCACACTAGGAAGCTGAGAGAGGGGACAGCAAGTACAGGGTGAGGTGACCAAGGCATCTCAGGCAAGTGGATCGGCATATTCTGTTCACGAAAGGGAAGAGGAGGAGTTCAGTCCATTGTCTCCAGTTTCCAGTCTCCTCGTAGGTTGATTTTTCCATACTCGATATTTGCCAAAATAAGGAACTAATGAGTAGGCAAATATGTTAGCACCCTATATTTTCATTGTAAGCTTTAAAAACCAGGTTTAGTAAAGTCATCTTCTTAGTTATCCTTGAGGTCAGTGGACTTGAGTTTCTGGTGACGAAAGTAAAAATCTAGTCAGGTATGAAAACTTAGCGCTTTGGTAAACTGGTTGCCTCTGTGATGCCTCAGGAAGGCATCCCAAGGTGAAGTGTAATATGGGAGCATCAAATTGTATGCTCTGGGTCAGAGTTATAAGAAAGCTCCAAGTCACGTTGGTCCAATTTCCCACTCTGCCTGGGGAACAGGAAACACCTGTGCTTGGGGTAGACCAGCAGGCCAGGGGATTTGGCCCCTTACTCAAGAAGCAATACCTGGAGACAGGTTTGAAGTGATGCAATCCAACACTGGTCAAGTGACCAAACAATTGACCATCCTCGAAGTCCTCAAAACATCATGGTCTGCCCATACCTGCCCAAGCCTCCTTTAAACAGAAAATTGTTGTAGGATGCTCAGCAAAGAAGAAACTGTAAAGGTTGAGCCATGGGAAAGAAAAAATAGAAGAGCAAAGGAGAACTTTCTTTATTCCCTTTCCCCTGTGCACCCTCGCCCACCCCTGTGTCATGCAGCACTGTGGAATTAGTTTCAAGACTGGAAACCCCAGTTTGCCTTTATCATTTTGCTTCTCGCTGAACTCAGAACTGATGATGGAATTGTCAGTAGCAAGAGTCCCCATCTCTCCTAATGGACACTTCTTCCTCAAGAAGAAAGTCTCTGAATGATCGCTTACATCTGTCGTGCCCAAATGGTAGCCTTTGAGACAGTGATGTGCCTGCCTCCCGTGATAGCTCTCGAACTAATTTTTTCTCTGTTGTTGTTCTCTGTTCAGGTGGATACCCTTCGCCATGTTATCAGCCAGACAGGAGGATACAGTGACGGACTCGCGGCCAGTCAGATGTACAGTCCGCAGGGCATCAGTGTAAGAAAACAAGACCCCTCCCCCCTCTTTGTTTTTATTCTATCACTCCCAATTATTTCAAAGCCATAGGGCCCGGAATGCCACTTAGTAGGACTTGTCTTAGCTTTCCGGTCACCTAGTTTCTTGTTTCTGTATCAGTCATGCCACGGGCAGCATTCTACCCACAGAAAAAGTGGCGACTGGGCAGGCTTCGTGCAGGCAGCTGGCGTCTAGGGCTGTCAGGCCCCATCAGTGTTTGCATGGCACCTGCGGCCACATACACTCAGCTGAGAGGAGCTGCTAAACAGGTGACACCTAGTACAACAGTGGTAGGAATTGTCACCACAAGCTGGGGCTGGGGAACCTGGAGATGAAAACCAGTAGCCAAATCCATCGCATCCAAGGCTGTGGCCTTTAAAAAAAGAAAGGAAAAGAAGGAAACAAACCTTTTTGCAATCTGGCAATAGATGATTTGAAAAAATAATTTTTTGACACAGAAGCTGGGTGTATCGGAGGAATGGGGAGGGGTGCAGACCATCTTCCACTTGTTCTTGGGTGCGCTGGCGGCTCCTGACTAGCATGAAAATTCGTAGCGACAAGCTATGTCGCACAGAGTGAAATCGATCAGACAGACACAAGGAGACCCGAGTGTAGATTTGGGACAGCAATCCAACTTGATTTCTCAGATCAATCGTCTGCTCTCTCAGCAGCGGTGACAGCAAGCTGGGACAAGAGGGCAGCCTAGAAAAGGAGGCTGTGCTTTAGAACAGGGCTGGTTTCCTGAACATTTAGAGGTCATGAGAGGCTCCAGGAGAGCTCTCGGCTCAACACAAAGGAAGAAAGATGTGGTTGGTGCATAAAGATCATTTTTGTTGTTATTTTTATATTATGACTAAAGTAAATTAAGGATGGAATGAAGGCAAGGTAGGCATGATTTATTAGTGTACTCGTGGCCTGTACTAATTGAGGTGCAGTGTCCACAATGAAGAAGGGAATGGCCCTCTCAGCTCTGTGTTGGTCAGACCACACCTGATCATGGCTAGGCTGGAAGGAGCCATGAGATTATCAACTATTTCATCAGATGAGGACAACTAACTCAGAGCTCTTACTCCTGAAATGAGAAGATATAGGTGACATGTAATAGCTTGAGAACAGCTGCCATCTGAGACTCAGCAGCAGTGATCTAAAGGAGGTAGGATGTATGGAGTAGAAAGGACTTCACTTGAACTGGTGGTGGACCATTCTTACAGAGTTCCCTTCTGAAAGGGAATTGGATGCCTTCAAAATGCAAACATGGTTTGGCTAAGACTTGGTGAGGATGTTGTAGAAGGGAGTGGATCACCAACTCGCAGAAGTCTTGGTGACTTTTAAGGTCATTTATAATTAGGAATCCTTTATATCTTACCTTCCTCGGGCCAAATTGCTTCTGAGTTTCTGTACTATTTGCCAAGCCATTCTTTGGGGAAAAGAATATGTCATAGAGACAGCCCTATTAAACAATCATTTGGCAATCATTTCACCTTCTAGAGAGGGTTTCCAGAGTAAAGGGATGCCTCCCATCCTGTGCATATGCTGACCAGGGTAATTATTAGTAGCACAGAAATGACTGACTGTCCGAGATGGCTGCTCAGAAGAACATAAGAGATCTCGATGCAGAAGTAAATTCTCAAACTGAATTCCAAAAGGATGAAGTAATTCTTGGGTGTGGCATTAAACACATGTGCATTTATGCATTTCATAAGACTTTTTGGGATATAAGACAGATTTTTCAGAGAAAGCTTTATTGCATGCATACGTGCAAGAGAAAAACACAAGGAAAATGCAAGCATGTGCGTGCTAGAATACAGGCACAGTGAAAAATCACTGAAGAAAATCCAGAAAGAAATGAGTCTGATTCTTCGGCTCTTTGGTATCTTTCTTTCCTCAATGAGCCCCACAGAAAAGGGCGGCACTCAGACTCTGGGGGCTCAACACTGACTCTTTTGACGTCTTCGGGGGGGCTGGAAGTCATTTCTGAAATAGTGCAACCAAACATGTGCAGACAATTATGTCTGATCACATAAGCACGCTCCAAAAACTGGGCTTGAAAATGCCACTTGAAAGAGTCTCTCACTTTGTACTAGTTTTTTTATTTCATTTTGTTTTGTTTTGGGGAGGGAATTTTGCTGGCAGTTGTCGTTTTCTTTCTGGGGAAGTGAATCAAAGGCTGTTCACGAGATGATATGTATCTTTGATACCAGTTTTACGCTGTGCCACCAGCAGGAGACTAAGCTTCTACCAAAAGATATTTTTAGGTAGTGGTATGAGATGCTGAGCTATGTGTGCATACAGAGTGTCTGTACAGAACAGGGCTGTGACTGCAAGGAGAGAGCAGGGGGAGAACAAGAAGAGGCAAGGACAGGAATGAAAGGTTTGAGCCAAGAAATAAAAATAAACAGTCCCCAAACCCAAAGCAGCAGTGGAATTCCCAGCTGGGCTCTGGATATTGTTTCACTTGGTGGAGGACATTTTCTGGGCAGCCTTCATCTACTCCCTGGCTGATTTTCCACAGCACCCATATCTTATCCAACTAGTGTCTGTTTTAAGCCCTAAAGTGCAGGGCACTTTCCTTTAACTGAGCACAACAGCAAGAGGATTGCAAGGTGCGTGCTCAGAGTCTCATCAGGTGAGTCAGGAAATGCCGGCCCCGGGGACCTCCTGTGCAAGCATCAAATCTTCCCTTTTGAAAATTGGGCCAGTAGTTCTCATCCTTAATATCTCAAGGGCTGCTCTAGGGAAAATGAAAAAATAAGTAGAAAAGGGCTTGACAAAGCATAAATTGTTCCACATGAATGCAGTATGAAATGTTCTAAGTGATAACTTTCTAATTTGACCTTTTTTCTCCTCTTGTGTAAGCAGTTTTCACAGTAGGTAGTTCCCAGTGAGGGAGGCTAGGACATAGTTGTCACTATTTCCCTTCTTCTGATGAAAGGCATGGTTTGAGATGGGCATAGAGTTCTGCAAGATCTAAAGACCCCCTTCCCTAACCACTATGAGAGTTAAATTATACCTTCTTTAGTACTCAGTGTTCCCTTGTGACAACAGGCAACACTTACCAGGTTTAGAGTGGCTCTGAGTAGTGCAGTAGTCCCCTTCTCTGTCAGTCAGGCACACTTAAAGGTCACTCAGCTATCCCTGTCTGTCTTGCCATTCTCCCTGCCATGACCCTCATTTTAGAAATAGTTCATTATCTAGACTTCAGCAACTACTCCCTAACCACTGTTGCTGTTTCTCCTCTCTCCTGCACACCCCTAAATTTCATCATCCCTTGCTCAGAAATCATCTGTGGTCCTTATCACATACCTAAGCAAACTCAAACCCTGAATCCAACATGAAGAATCTCCCACAGCATGGCCCTCATCTGCCCACAATTTCCTTCATCTTTTCATCGAAGTAAACTCTGGGTACTTTTCACCTTTACCTGATAGCAAACTTAAGCTTTTCCCCGCTGTTCACTGATGCATGGAAGCCACATAAATGTCCTTTAATTTCCGTACCTCTCCATCCAGCTGTACCAGCAAAATCACGCTGACCCCCCAGGTTCCTCCTTGACATCTTTCTTCTTCTTAGCCCTTGTCTCTTCTCTGCCATTCTCTCTGTATCTGTGTCTGTGTCTGTCTCTGTCTCTCTCTCTCTCTCTCTTTCTGTCTCTCTCTTTCTCTCTCTTACCTTGTATTATCTATAAGTGCGAAGAACACATTCACTTGCCTTCGTGTCTCCCACAAATGTGTTTGGTCCAAAAATGTATATTTTTTGTTTCTTACAATATGTTGTTTGGTAAATGGAGCAAAGGGGTGAAGAAAACATTCTACTGAATTAAAAATATAGTGATCCTTCCACATATCTCATGTATCAGCTGTAAGATTCCTAGTAATGGCTATTATTTAAAATGCTTCCTTTACCTATACATATGCTGTCTCTTAAATCCAGAATCTTAAATCTTCCTTTCTAGGAAATACTTCTCTGACAAAGAAATTCAAATCATCATTAAATATATGAAGTTATATAGTGGTGATTTTCACTGAGAGACTTAATCTCTTTAATTCCATTAACTCCTTCGGTCCTAAGTGTCCCCATCCTCCTCTCCTGGAAGAATCTCTGTAAAAGGATGCCTGTAGGAGTGGCCACTATGACCAGTGCGATTCTCACTGTCCTTGTCTCCTCCTGCCCATGGAACTGGACTGTCCAAGGACAGCGTGGTGGAGGATGGAGACAATTAGAAATTCAGACACTTACGTCTTTCTCGTGGCTTTATTTCCATTTTACTTCTCTGTGTGGTTGCTTCAGGGTAAAAGTTACTAGAGGGACACACTCGAAAGTCTTTGTCAGTGGGAGAATTTTACAGGCATGGCTGTTGATTCTCACCCTGAATTCCAGGGACATCACACTATCGTGCCAGCCCCGCCTTAAACTATATCTTAAAAACCTGTGTGAAGAAGAAGAAACCTTTGCTCCTGCGCTTTTTCTTTGGAATCCTCTGACTTGCAATAGCAGAAAGGAGGGTTCCAAAGAAAAACTAAATTGTTTTACAATGTGAATTAAGGCAGTGAACGTGCTCCTTCCAGTCTTGAATGTACATCCCTTTTAACTTATTCAGTTTGGATGAAAATGAAAATAAAATGTTGTGGTTATCTCAATGAAGGCAATGTGCCATTCACATCCATTGATGACAGAAAAATCTCATTAATTATGCTTTGGTAATAATAGTAGTGGAAAATAGAAGAGAAGCTTTATCTTTATAAAACATAATATAGGAATTTTTGTTTTCTTTTTTTCCCCAGTTAGGAAAGGGATAAAAAAAGAATATTAATTAAGGAAGTAAATAGAATAGAAATCAGGACCAAAAAATCCACTGATTTAAGTGGATGCATTGCAGGCATGTGAATATCGCAAGGGTTACTTAGAAACACTTGGCCTCCCGCCATAATTGTAATTCTTTCTTAACTACCACTGAGAGTTCTCTTTCCACTTAAAGTATGTAT